CCTCAATCCCGTAGCCTAAAGGTAACCAGCTTGTCTCGTAATCTGACAACGCTGGTTGGAGCCTGCGTCGGGACCGGGCGACTCTCGAAGCATCCTTAGTCCACGTGTGACCGATGGTGCTTGCATGGCAGCATGTTGTCGGTAGTGCGTAATGACATACTGCTGATGCTTTTATTTCGCTTTCTTAAGCCGTCACGCGAATATCATTGCAATCCAGACTACCGACATCTTGTTCCAAAGCTTTTAGCCTACCAACCGGTGCGCTGAGGTCTCCGATGAGAACCACCATATACTTGCAATGATTCTTATGGAGTAGGTAGGATAGTTGACGGTAGAACTCATCTTTAGCTGAGTCCGGGCTGTAACTCGTGGGAACATGCACGGTTGCGTCAAACAAACAGTGTTTGGTTACCTCGCGGCTGCACAATCGTATGGAGGCTTTTACTTAAATTGCACAGGATTAGTCGTTAATTAGAATCCAAACAAGTAGCGCTGCTTCTGCGCGCGCAGTAAACACAACTCGTACACCAGCCTAGTCCGCGGCTTCTTCACCTATGTCTCCCGATAAATTTGGCGTGCATGTATTCTGCAAAGGATCTGAGGACTACGTAAATTCGTGTGCAAGTGTGTTGTCTGCACATGGAATTTTTCAGTTACCAAGGTAGGAGAAGCGATTAACTATTCTGTAACCCGAGCCAACGCCTTAGTTCTTAAAGCCGTTACCAGCTACGCTGTGAGGCGATTAGCATATGTCACGAACCGTCGAGAGCCGATAACAAGTTTTGAGTGTCAACAAAATACCTATGGCACCGAAACAGTACGAGTATAGCAGTAAAGGGACCATGAACCGTTTCCTGAAGCATCCGACTCGTTGCTGTTTGCGAACACATTCGACAGCCAGGTGGCTCAAGCACCTTCTTAATGGTCGATGGTAGTCCACACAGAAGCGAGTACTAATCTAGGTTGCTCATCCACCCTCCAATAGATACTTCATTCTGGTTAAAAAATGGTTGGTCACTCACTCTATATGCGGAAACATTGGCTTTGTGGTATGTGATACATTACCGGAATAAAATATTTATTTATTTGTAAATGGACAGCGTCGAACTTCCCACGCTCTGATATGCTGCGCTGATTGTCTGCGGAACACGCGAGACTCAGTCACACTTGCCCTCAGTAGGAAGGCATTCCTGTGGGAGCACGAGACGGCGTACAAGCAGCCCGTAAGCCGCTCCCTGTGTAGACATCCCATTCTCAGCGTCGCCTTGCATCACTACTTCTCTACCCATAGCAAATCATGGTATCACCGCAGCATTAGTATACGCCTAACTGTGGTGTCACTATAATCTTTGGATTTTGTGGTCTACCCCCTACCTACCTACGGGACTCGTTCAGCATTCAATTAATTGCCCCTACTAAACAATACTCCGTGTAACTTTTACACGTTGCTTTGAGGCGCATTGCGTGCTAGCCGTGGAACAAGCACTAAGACAACTCATATGTCAGCTGCATTACCATCTTATTTTCCACCTTGATACATCGCCCATCGCAATCGTAGGACGCCAGAAAGATTTCTGCGCTGGTACCATCTCACCAGTGCATGTGCCTATGTCTACCGGTGCACATGCGATTTAGCGGTGTGACCAAAGTCACCTGTGGCCAACGCGCTTCAATGCGCCACTCGTATTGTGCCTAGTGCCCGGTGCGCGCCATGTGTTCACAGCACGCAATAGATCGTACGGACAAGCGCCTGGGGTTTAGCTTAGTGACACGGATTGTCGGCCGTGTCAGAATGCGAGTAGCCAGTGACCCGATTCCATAACAGGCTCTGTTATAATGGCGTTGTGAATCGCGCTCAAATTCCTTATCATACACTGACCCCGTTTCCTCTTAGCCTGCCGTGGGTGACCTCAGATGTTAACGATTTACTACCCCCATCCGCCGTCATGGAATCCGTCACCGCCCATGTACCAAGTCGCACACGAGCAAACTCCGGGCTGTAGTGATTCCCCTAACCCACCTACCCTACACATGCGTACACGTTGCTATGTCTACTATGCATTCGACATGTTATTGGCCCACAGCGCTTGCCTAAGGAACCACCCACACGACGGTGCGCGCATGTCACAGTAGCCTGACTTAACTTAGTTCATCGGAAGGAGTAACCTGTTAGCGTACCAGACTAAGTTGATAGCTCGTTAGCTTAAGTCGCTACCTGTATGGCCTAACATGAGTCGGAAATGGTATAGATGCTGGCGAACTTTCCAACAGCTCCATCAGCCAGCACCTATGCTAACTCTCTAAGAATTAGAAATAAATTTAAGCAACCTCTCGGAACTGTTCGTCTCCCGTACGAGCAGGGTTTAGCGGACTCGGCCGCAGCTAATCCCAAGGAGCTTTTGCTTAAGTTAAAAGACGCAGCAGGGCAAAATTGTCCATACCAGCGTTATTGCGAGCAGACGGGACCCGTGCGCAAACGGACCAGGCCAAGTCTTGTACACTTAGCGCTCAGCATACTGGGGTCTCTGCTCGGTAGACCTCTTTATCACAGGTTGCATTGGTTTCAAGATTTCCAGAGGATTCTTGCTTAGCTAAGTTAAGCATAACGGAAACTCATGTCTTCGAGCTACTGCAAGGCATTAATCACTCTAAAGCTTACGGTCCTGATTCGATTCATCCGAAGCTTTTGCATGAATTGGCCACTGAGCTAAGTGGTACTCTCACGTGCGTGTTTTCAATATCACTGGACAGCTGCAGCCTACCTTCGGAATGGAAGGAGGTAATCATCTGTCCGACTTTTAAGGGCGGTGACAGCGCTCTACCCGCGAACTACCGGCCTGTCAGTTTAACCAGCGTAGCAGGCAAGTTGTTTGAAAAGTTGATAAGGGATTCAGTAGAGAAGCACCTGAATCGATTCAACCTTCTCAGTGTTGCGCAACATAGATTCCGCAATGGATTTTCATGTCAGACTAATTTACTTGTAGCTCGTGAAAGCTGGGCCGAAGCTGTGGACAGTGATCACGCCGCAGGCGTGCAATTTGTAGACTCAGCGAAAGATTTTTAAACTGTTCCACATCTTCGGCACCCATTAAAGTTGAGATCTTACGGGATATCCGGTCGCGCCCTTCAATAGGTGTCTGCTTTCCTTGAGGGGAGGGAATAGTGCGTACGGGTGGGGCGTAGCCTTTCGCTCAGGCAAGCTATCCTTAGTAGCGCCTCGCAAGGCTCGGTATTAGGGCCATTGATGTTCGCGATCTATGTAAATGACTTGCCGGGAGAGCTAGGGGTGTCATCACTAATGTTTGCTGACGACCTTAAGCTCTGGAATATTGTGGATAACCCGGGGGTCCCAAGGCAATTCAGCATGCCTTGGATAGGCTCTGGGAATGGCCTACCTTATGCTTGCTGCTCACAAATAGGGCCTAATGCGCAGTTCTCCGAATCGGAGCTGCTTATCCTCTCATCCGATATGTTGTCGGCGGTGGTGAGCTCACTGTTGTCGCTCTGCAGGTTGATTTAGGAGTCGTAAACGCAACAGCACTTCATTCTGGAGACAACTGGAAGAAGTCTGCTTGTCGAGGGTTTCGTATGATGTGGTTTATCCGCTGCTCTTTCGGAATCCTAACGGACACTTTGTTTGTAAAGCTATACTCGGCATTCGTCCGACCCAACTGGAATATTGTATTCAGTCTTGTCCATCATATTTTAACCGAGACAAAATGGACTTGGAGAGGGTGTTACGAGTGGGCACTCGGTTAGTGCTGGGTCTACGGAGACAGACGTATCCTGAACACTTGCGCAGTTTGGGGATGTACTCAATGCACCACCGAAGGCTAAGAGGGGACCTGATACTCACTTATCGTATTTTGACGGGTAAGATTGGTCCGGACTTGTCAGGGCTATTTGGTCCCACTACGTTACCTAATCTCCGCGGTCACCCACTGAAACTGTATAAACCACGGTCTGATAGGATTAGGAAGTAAACCCGTCTGTTGCGCCGAGTTATAGACCGCTGGAATTCGCTTCCAACTCACGTGGTTAAGGAACCTACGGTTGAGGGTTTTGCGCGCGCGCGCTAGAAACTCTTGGGTGGCAACAGCAAACCTTTCCTTTTTCCTAGCCGACTCACCTTCACTTAACAGTTCTTTTTAATGACTCAAATATTTTGATATTCCACTTGCTTAGCTCTTTCCTCTTCCTCTTTTGCCTTTTGAGTTTACTTTTTTCTCTTTCTTACTTCACTTAACCGGCCCAGCACGGACTGCTGTGGCAGGGTACGTGGGCAATAATTGGTTGGACAGGGGGTGATGCGGTCTTTGTTTTAGGTCCATCAGTATTTCAAAGTCTGCCAACGTTTGGTTCAACGACCCGCCGAAGAAGGAACACTCACGGGATAATCCTATCGTTCCAGTCCCGCTTGAACTTGAACTTCCCCAGTAAATCGGTAACTTCTGGGAACTCATGGGATTTCGGTTTAAGGTATCTCCTCTTTATTGCCAGCAGGTCCTGTCGGTTCAGCAACCGACCGTAGTGTCGGAACACGTGCTCATGCACATCATGCTAGCTTTTAAAACCATATAAGGCTAGCAACCAAAGCTTGCGCCTCCGGCAGTCGCCTGTTGCACACATACTGACAGGGAAAACCAACTTCAAAATCGTGGTTGTGCCATGTTCCACGCTCATAACACAGACCCTTTAGAATGCACGATAATCAAGTGTGCCAAGCAAAATCCATGTAGTTACACGCGATACCTAACAGTACATGAACGTACATCACTAACCTTTTGCCAATAACGTTTGTACGTGTTATGTACACACCGGTATTGCACTTAACGGTACGGGTATATATATATATATATAATGCACATTTATTTTTTACTGTTCGCTTTTCATTGGCTTGATTAGCCACTCTCATTTTGTTATGCAAAAAGCTGTACTCTGAGAAGTTTGTGCCCCAACTGCTTACTACCCCTCTGTAAGTGCTAGGTTCCCGTTTAGACATGGCAGCCAAGCGGAAGGCGGCTAAGAAGGTTGTCGAGGAACAAGTATCCTTGGGTCCCCAAGTTGCCGATGGAGAGTTTGTCTTCGGCGTTTGTCACATATATGCGTCGTTTAACGATACATTTGTCCACGTCACTGATCCTACTGGTGCGGAAACTATCGTTCGTGTAACTGGTGGAATGAAAGTCAAGGCTGATCGCGACGAATCCAGTCCATATGCAGCTATGTTAGCTGCTCAAGATGTGGCGGAAAAGTGCAAGTTGTTAGGGATTAATGCCCTTCACATACGGATTCGTGCGACAGGTGGAACGAAGTAATTGTCCTAATTGTTTTTCTTATACTTGTTTAGAGCTCGCACTCCTAGTCCTGCGGCCCAGTCGGCACTCCGTGCTCTTGCGCGTTCGGGTATGCGCATCGGCCGCATTGAAGACGTGACGCCAATCCCTACGGACAGCACAAGAAGGAAAGGTGGTCGCCGCGGCAGAAGACTGTAATTTCTCCCAAATAAAATATTTTGCAGACGGACCCTTGCTGCTGACTTGCCCGATTCCCTGTCTAGTGAGTTATGGGAATTCCATCACGGTAGCAGTCTTCGTATGGCTCTGGTTAACTTGCCGGCGTAAAAAAGCACGCTGGTTTGGCGAAAGCCTGAATTATCTTGGGATCTTTACTTAGCCTAATGTGGCTTGTTCGCTGGCTATTCATTTGGCTGGATTCATGCCATCAGTCTGCGGAGACCGATGGGACTGATTTCATGAGTGTCCGAAAACCGAAACCAATTTCGAGCAAAATCGGACGCAATAGTTGGTAGCTTTTAATATCATTGTTCCTTTTTATGTTCAATTAGGACCACAACGATATCGTGGTCCCATGAATTTTTCTTTTTCTGCGTATTGTTGAAGCAGGAATTGATAGATCGATTTGAGTTATTGAGATATAACTGAAAAACGGCATGATACCCTACCTATCCAATCGCTGCCCACATTTCCTGTAGCAGTCCCTGCCAGACTGGTTTATGTGAAGGGTAAGCTTAGTATAGCGCGTCGATTGTGCGCAATATATCTGGTACGGTACTAAGCGGCCAACCCGAAGGGATCGATAGAACAAGATTAAGCTAGGGTAAAGGTTTATTGAACAGAAGGAAAGCTAGCTAATGTCAAAAATAAGGCACCAGATGTCTAACAAGGGAAGATAAAGGCTTGCGTGGACAACAGTCGTTCGCAGATCGAGCAGCGGACTCCAACGCCGGATGTAGTATTTTGTGTTTCAAACAATGGGGTACAACGTTCCCAAAGGCGGATCGCCTAATTCTCTTATACATAAAACAATATTCTTAGATAACTTTAGTCATACGAAGGAATTTCAAGGTCAATACAAAGTAAACGAGGAGGAATATCGAGTTCATTGTTCATTTATCTGTAGAGAGCAGAAAACCCTTGTCTGCCCCATCAATTCCGTATCAACTGTATAATGATAGTACCAAGGCATGAGAAAAATTGGATACAAGAACAGGAGGCTGAAGATACAAGTCGATTAGGAGGAGGAAGGTTTGGTACTGCCACCCTCGAAACCATCAACAGTAAATTACCTAACGACGTCCACAAACGGCGAGACAAAGGATTTTTCATCCCTGCCTGGTCAGAACGCAATTTGTGTAGTTTCAAATGGTGACTGCGGAGACTAGACAGCTTAGCGGGACCAAATGTCCAGGACAAGTTTGGGTCAATCTTACACGTTAAGCTACGGTGTGTGAGGGCCAAATCCCGTATACTTCTCCGGTGTTATATTTAGTACCTCCCCAAGTAAAACAAACATTCGAGATACGCTTGCTCTCGTAAACCCTACACTAACTGCGCACTTGCAAAACCCTCGTTACATTTTGTTCCTTACAAAGCAAAGTAGACAAGACTGAATACACTAAATGCGATCGCATAAAAGCTGAGTAAATCTTAACAAACACATCGGTCATTAGGACACCGAAGGGGCGGCGAATAAACCACATCGTACAACCATCTACAAGCAGCTTTCTACCAATTGTCCCCAGAGTAAAGGTCGACGCCTAGATCACAACGTATGGAGTGACATGGGATTCCACTTCAACATGAGGGATTAGAATCTTCGATGCGGAAGACATTTCACCTAATTTTTGAGCCTCGTCCATAAGATTGATCAATTTCAGAGCATCATTATACACGTTAGCTGCAGGTGAAAACACCTCAGCTATTGTGCCGCAATATTAAGGACAAGAGGCAAAAATACAACAGTGGCATGCCGGCTGAGTCCCCATTAACGGATGGACATCGTTCCGAACAGCTAACAGCCGGCTATCGTGCCGTAAAAAGTTATATTATGCCTAGCGAATGAGATCAGTCGCAACGAGACTGGACCTTAACTTGAGCGACGGTTTGCGTACCTCCTTGACCCATTGAGCTATACTGGGTGGTGCCTGTGGGCATCTTGGGAGATACTCCTATCAGGTTAGTCAATGACGAGAGGTCAGACAAACTCACTCTCTTGGTCCTCTAGGTTGGGGGTTTGAAATGGGATGGCGTCCATTTCTTTCAAACTAAATCCTTGCCACTCCGCTGCCTTGCGGACTGGCTTTTGAGCCAAAGGCTTTGGATGAAGACCCTAATCGTCCTCCTGTCTAGGTCTGGGCGCCCTGGCAGTATCCCAGCCCACATACAACCATGACTTTTTTTCAAACATAAACTTCATCCTGCATCGGCCGTCGCGCAGATTATCAAGGGTCGCCTTATCTGCTGCATACAGCAGGGCGGATAAGCGAGAACATGCTACTGCTGGCGCCTCCCTTCTTTCTTTTCCACCTGCTTCTCTTATTTCCACCCCGACGCCCATTATTAACCTTCCTATTATAATTCCTAGTTTAATTGACAGCAACCGAAGTGCCACTAGAGTAGAACTATCTGCAGCCCCCCTTCTCGCGATACACCGGACGCCTATCGGCAGCAGTCCCTTATAATGCCACGCTGTCCCGTTTTCCTGGCAACGTTCGCACTCTAAGACAAGTAGCTCAACAGGCTGCACTCGCACGCCCTTGGACACACTGGGTATTGATGTGTATTATGTGTCCGAAACTAGGATCAATGACCCTGAGGTTGTTGAATTAACTGCACCCGGCTTGTCCTCTCGTTATTGGTTGCACGCATCCGGAGACGCTGATGGAGCACTCACGAGTCAAGCTGGTGTAGGTATCATTCTAAGCTCCAAGGCTGAGCCATCGTTGCTAGATTAGAATCCGGTGAACAGCCGTTTATGTGCAATCCGTTTGACGACATCAGCCAAGGTTGATTCACGAAGTACTACAAAACGTTGTTTGTTTGTGATTTCCGCTTGTGTCCCCACCGACTGCAGTTCAAATGCTGTCAAGGACACATTCTACCACGAACTGAACGCGCTACTACGCATTGCTACTAGTTCAGATATTATGGTACTTGCTGGGGATATGAACGCGCAAGTAGGGCGTCCAAGCATTTCAGAAGCTCAGCTGGGTGGTAATTATGGGTTTAACTCCGAACGGACTGACAGCGGCGAGCGTCTGCCGCAACTGTTTGCGGAGCACCAGTTATTTCTTACCAGTACTGCTTTTAGACACAGTGGGCTCCGAAGTACCACTGGGCCTCCTCCTGTAACTGGCCAGCGATGGACCCAAATTGACCACATTGCCATAAGTTACATGTGGTGTGGTTCCATTCTGGATTGCCACTTGTATTGGAATAACTGCGTCAACTCTGATCATGCCTTGGTACGCTGTGGTTTCTCCGTGAACTTTATCGGGAGGTGCACCAATCGTGTTCTCTAATTGGCAACTGAGAAATTGTCCCAGCCCTCGGTCAGGGAAGCCTATCAAAATGCACTGCCTTCCGAACTTTCGCTGTCTTGTCCTAATGACACTGAGCTTGTGTGGAATAGGATCACGACCGCCATGTACGACGCAGGAGCATCTGCTTGTGGCACTATCAATGGTTACCGCACCAGTCACTGGATATCCGAGAGGTCGGTGAATCTGTTGTAATCTAGAAGAAACCTCCCGGCGGGCTCTGAATACAATGTGACCAGACAGGCTATTAGGCGCGAACTAAAGCAGAGCCTACGTGCTGACAAGGAAGCTTGGTGGACCAGTCGGGCTCAAGAAATGGAGGAGACGGGAGCATTAGTCTATAACCGGTAGCTCTTCTAGCTGATCCGCACCACTGGTCCCAGGAAACCAGGCGTCAGTGAGACAGTGAAAGATAGCGCGGGTGCACTGATACACAATAAGGAGCACCGTATCGCTCGTTGGGCGGAAAACTTTCAAGATCAGTTCAGCTGGCCCGTTGTTTCCGGACCTCTTCTTACTCAGGTGATGCAGCACGAGCCATGGACGGTTAGTTTAGATCCTCCGTCAGAGACCGACGTCCGAAGCGCCATCACAGCCCTCAATTGTTTTCGTGCCGCTGGCCTTATTTCCTCCCACCTGCACTATTTAGGGATAGAGGTGAGGTCCTCTGCAAAGCACTGACCTCCCTATTCGAACATATCTGGAAGGAAGAGAGTGTCCCGGCTGATTGAAACGTATCGATTATAGTGGCAATATACAAGAAGGGCAGTCGCACAGACTGTGCGAACCACAGGGGTATTAGCCTAACGCCAGTTGTGACCAAATTACTGGCGTCGATTCTCGTTCCTCGGCTCACTGTGGACCGGGAATCTTGGATTAGGGAAGAGCAGGCAGGTTTCCACCCAGGGCGTGACTGTATAGACCAAATGTTCACTTTGCGGCAGTTGCTAGAGCAGCGCCACGCAACCGCAGACCGACAATGGTTGTGTTTCTTGATTTCAAAAGTGCGTTTGATTCATTCGATCGATGTCTTCTGTTCGAAATACTTGCGCGCAAAGGTGTTCCCATGAAATATGTGAACATCCTACGTGCTCTTTACTCGAACACTACAGGCCGCGTCAGAGTCTACGGTGGCCTATCAGATGGCTTCCCGATCACAAGTGGCGTTCGTCAGGGTTGTCCGATTTCCACATTTTCGTACAATTTCGTCGTGGATTCTATCATGGAGTGTTCCCTTGCGGAATCTCACGATGTAGGCGTTGAAGTGCTGCCTGGTGAAAGGTTAGTTGATCTTGATTATGCGGACGATATCGTCTTGCTTTTTGACGATGTTGGGGCGGCACAATCAACCCTGAATAGCCTGTCTATAGTGGTCCCATTATTTGATATGCGCTTTGCACCTTCAAAATGTTGCTGCAGGACCACCAGTCACTTTATGACCCCATTCACCCTTGCTAACGAAGAACTCGAGGTGGTTGATCGATTCACTTATCTTGGCAGCTGCATCATCAACGATGGGCGCATAGAAACGGACGTCAGCTCACGGATTGCAAAGGCCAGAGCTGCCTTCTTGAACCTGCGACATCTTGGGCGACTGAAGGGAGTTTCACTTGGTCTGAAAGGCCGTGTATACAAGGCCAAAGTGAGGGCCGT